GTATTATAAAAGTGTGAGAAGTATGTGTCATGAAATTATCTCCGATTTGTAATTTAGTATGAACTTGTAGAGACAGTAGACATTTTTTTTTTTTTTTTGGAAGCAGGAGCGATGAAAAAATGCAACCCCTTCACCATGAATTGAACCGCGGACCTCTCAATTGCGCGCTGAGCATGCAGGTAGAGATATTAGTTATTTTATTTATTTATTTATTTATTTATTTGAAGCAGGAAAGATGAAAAAATGCAACGCCTTCGCCGGGAATCGAACCACGAACCTCTCAATTATGCACTGAGTGTGCAGACCAGCACACCAAGAAGGCAGGAGAAATACCTTATAAACTTCTGAAATTAATTTCCCCTATTTCACATTTTCTTAGCTACTGCATCTTTCACTGCTTATATAATGAGACAGAATGTCAGATTTTTTTTAAAACATTTTTTCAAGGAGAGAAACGTGATGATCAAAGGGTGCTATATCTGGGAAGTATGGTGGATGTGGCAGCATTTCCCAGCAATTTCTCTGCAATTTTTTGACGAGCTGCCAAAGCAGCATGTGGTCTGGCATTATCATGATCCAATATGATGTGCTTCCTATTGAACATCGCTGGTCTCTGCTTTTGTTTAAATCATCCATTTGCTGAGAATATTTTTCTGAATTGAGCTTTTTGTTAGGTTTCAACAGCTTGTGATGTATTGGCCTTTGGAAGATCCACCATATATACAGCATTCTCTTATTCAAGCTCAAGCTTTGTTTAGTGGTAGAAGAAGCAAGTTGTCTGGGCTCACAGTATGCTCTTTTCCCAATGGTGTTTTTATATAGGTAATCCACTTTTCATCACAAATTATCATCCAGTCCAAAAAAAGTTCATTTTAGTCCTGAGCAAGCAGAGGAGTGAACATGATGACTCAATCATCAAGGGCATATTAAGCCAGCTGAAGGCCTTGTGTGGTAAAATGTTTGAAGCCCCTAAGAAAATATTTGCTTACCTACATTACTGAAATACAGCCTGTCCTAAAATGTAATACATAATTAAATACACATACTTGATATTATACATATTTTAACAAAATTATTATTTAATATTTTTATTTTAATATTTCTATATTACTTCCTCAGCATATTAGGTTAAAAATTCATAAAAATTAAAATTATATCAAGAAATTAAATATTGTATAGGAAAAGAAAGTTAAACATAAAACTGCTAAATCATTTTATGGAAAATTTTAAAATTAAAATAAGTGATTATAAAATTAGATGGCTATCAAGTAGCAGGTTTAATAACTTTTTTCCTTTACATCTTTTCAGCAAATTCATCAACTATTTTAGATTTATAGATGTTGTTTAAGACTTTCTGTTCCATACACATCACAGACATACAGATTAATTGTTCCTCTGACATCATATTTTTATAAGCAGTTTTTTTACCCTTTTTATGACACAGAAAGATTTTTCTCCAAATGCATTGGAAACTGGAATAGTAAAAAAAGTTACTTAAATAATTTTTACATTACAAAAAGTTGATGACATTTCTCTTGGAATGTGATAGTGTGTCAGAAATAAATCTGTCTTCACTTTCTAAAAAACAATAAAAACTGTTCCACTTCATTATCAAAATAAAAAATATCTCCATAATTTTTAATAAATCTGTTTATCATTTTTACATGGACTTTTTTAAATTCAACTAATTTAAATTAAAGAATATTTTCAAGTTTTCAATATTGTTTTTATATGCAGCATGATTACAATTAAAGTTTCAAAATGCTGTAAAAAAGGAACCACTGATCAGAATGACGTCGAATTTGAACGGAATAATATTATCGAAGTAGGGAGAAAACATAATGGCAGAAGAAAAATAGATAGTTAAAAATTTTAGCAATACATGGCACTGAAAGCATCAGAATATGTAAATGAAAATACCTGTCATGCGCACAACTTATTTCAGTTGTTATAAAAGTGTCGGGCACATGGCTTTACCTCATTTCACTTCTAAGAAGTTCACCAAGACTATCTCAATAAAAGGTCGCGCTTTGCTTCTAAAGCTTTTTTATAAGAATGATGACTGTGCATCAGTAGCTCTGCAGAAGTTCCAGACACTCAAGGGTATGAAAAAGGTGGTCTGATGACGGCCATGGGTCTGGAGAAAATGATTCAGAAATCTGAAAAGACAGGTTCTTTTGATGTGCAATCTGGTAGAGGGAGGATAAAAATTGATTCGACGCCAGTTTAAGTAATGGCCATAGCAGTGTGGGAGGAGTCAAGCAGAGGTGTGAAACCATGCAGTGCACAGAGAATTGCCCGAACACTGTGCATGCCTCTGAGCATGGGGTGTAAAATTCTATGAAAAATCTTGCACTGCTATCTATACAAAATTACTCATGTACAGAAGTTGCTTCCTGTTGGCCTGCCAGCAAGAGAAACTTTTGCTCTACAATTCCTTGCTCACATAGATATGGTCAATGAATGGCTGTGTGGACAGACAAAGCCTATTTCTATCTCCAAGGCTTTGTCAATACAAAGTATTGTCGAATGTGGGCAAGAGAAAATCCATTTGCAAATCAACCAGTACCATTTCATTCTGCAAAGGTTAATGTGTGGTGTGGGTTTACTGCATCCTTTATCATACAGGCCATATTTTTTCGGTCCTGTTACCTGTACTGTCACTAGTAAGGGCTATGAGGATCTTTTGCGCTACCCCATCATTTCAACTCTTCGACAGAGGGGATGTGCTGATAAGATCATTTTTATGCAAGAGGGTGCTCCTTCACACATTACAAATCCAGCGAAGCAGCTGCTGAAATGGCATTTTGGAAATGCTAGGATTATCAGCCGTCATTTCCTTTAGCTTGGCTGCCCAATCACCTGATCTTAACCTGTGTGACTTTTGGCTGTGGAGCTATCCAAAAGATGTTGTGTTCAGTGCTCCAACTGCATACATAGCTAAATTGAAGGCATACACTGCACAACACATTCTGAATGTGACCCCGGAGACACTTCAATCAGTTGTGGAACATACCGTTTATCAATATCAACTTGCTGCAGAAAATGGTGGACAGCATATTGAACATGTTTTGCGCCAGTCTCATGAAAATTAAAAACCGATTTGGCTGCTGCTTTTTATGTGGTTTTCCCCAGGACAATTAAAAACTAATTTTTTCCATCTTATGTGATATGACTTTGCTGCGGTGGATGGGCTTATGTAACTAACAGTATCACACCTGTACAGCCATACACACTGAATAATACAGTTGGTTTAATGTGTAACCTACATCTTAGCCATTGCTTTACAATTCATCTGTTGTTTGCAGTCGAACCCTTTTAAGTTATGATGCTTACAGCTCCATCTATTGCTAGAATTTTGAACTATTTATTTTTCTTCTGCATACATTTCTTCCCGTTTTTGATAATATTTCATTCAAATTTGATGTTATTCTGATCAGTTTTTTTTTACAGTGTTTTGAAACTTAAACTTTAATTATAATCGCTCATCACTTCATTTCTATGAGCAAATTCTGATACTGTCACAAATATTAAAAGAATTAAAAGATAATTTTCATACCTTGAAAGCAATTTAGATCCTCCCCTAGTACAATCAAAATATTTTTTTGCTTTTTTTATGGCCCATGATTCTGTTCTTCAAATGTCATGAATACCACTGCAGTTGCTTCTTTTTCGATGTAAACAGTTCATAACAGAATCATGCTATAAAATTTTCTAAAGTTTCTAATAAATCAGATCTTTTAAATAGGGCATATTCAGCTGTTTGTAGGGATTTGCTAGTAATATTCATTCACATGTCAGGTAAGGCTTCTTCTATACGGCTGCACCAACTTTCAAAGTCAGTACAGCTTTTGCCAACTATCTAGTATCAGATAACTTTTTATTGTTTGTTGTTGTGAATTGTTTTCATTCTTTTTCAGCTTCCGGCTCAAAATCTGCCAGCGATGAAGGGGACAGGGAAAAAAGCAAATAACTTTTGCACAGGCAATAAAATATTGAATGTTTCTGCAACATAACCATGCATTAACTTTAAAGAATGATTGGCACAAGAGATGTATTTAGATTGCACTTGGACTAAATCCTAAGTATTTTCCAGATTGGTTTCCTACACTGTAATATGTTTACCCTCTACAAAGTTTTAATATCTATATCTAATTTTTCTAAAGATAACAATACCTGTTGTACCAAATATGGCACCACATGTTCTTCAATCAGAATAAGTCTTAGAAACTTTTCTTTTACATACATTATCATTTGACAATACTTACTTTATAACTAACAGAAATTACCAATGTATGAAATGTCAGGTGTAGAGATAAGGCTTTAGTAAGTTGATGATTTAAGTTCTGTTATATATGTTATTATATATTCGTTAATGATGCTGATGAATTCTCACAAATACAATGTGACAAATAACTTTATTTTCCTCATCTTCAATTACCATATTTTTAATTCAGTTTAAAAAAACTGTCATATTCACTGAGCTATTCCAAGCTTCCTTGCTCGAATTCAAATTTTCATCAAGATATCTAAATACTAACCCTACTCGAATTAATAACTTCATAAAGGTTGATATACTTATTTTCGACAGTTCTTTCTAAAATTTTTTTTTCACATTCTACCTGTTGCAAGGGAAGAATTGTGTTCATTCATAATTAATGTAACTTACTCATGTTATAAGTTCAGGAAATTTGGATATACTTGTTCAAAATCAATTCTTAACATAGCATTTGAAACAACAATCGCAGGTTTTGCTGCTATATTTCAAAGTAGTAAAAATAGAATTATAATGGTCAAAATGTTAATATGAATATGTGTCTTTTATTTCTTTACTTTACTCTTTTACTTTATTAAAAATTTATTTCCACATATACAGATAATCATAAAATAATGCTAGCTTTTTTATATTATTTAAACTAGCAGGAGACACTGAAAAAACATAAAAATATGCAGTTTTAATTTAATTTTCAATTCTTACCACAAGAAAAGTTAATACTTACAGCAATAGTGGGATTGCATTCTGGAGCACAAAATCCACTTTGTAAAGCTATCTGCAATTAAAATAATGTAATTAATTGCTATGATGCTCCAATTTTTAAATACTAGCTTATAAAATGTTATACAGTCAAAAGTCGTTAATCCGGACTCGTCGGGACTTCGGCGATTCCGGATTATCCATTTTTCCGGATTATAGATCATCAGTTTAAATCTGGTAAGATGGCATGCAGAAATTATAAAATTAAAAATATGAAACGTTAATTTATGAAATAAAGAACAATTATGATCTAAAGGGTATCAAAATTTACAAAAAGAAAAAGCTTAATATTTACTTGTTTACTTTATTAAACATTTCTTTTAATGTAAGTTGTTTAAGTTGCTTCCTTTCATGTGATAATACTTTCTCTTTAATTCTATTAAATAGATGTAATTTCTTGTTTAGTTACAAAGTTCCACTGTTCAAGTCCTATAACTGCTGTGTCGAGAAAACCGACTAATTTGCCAATCGAAATGTTTTCGTTTTCAATAACCTCTGTGTCACTTTCTTCACAATCGGAAGCGAATTATAATGATGAGGAACTTGATTTAAATCATATCAAAGACGGAGCACATCGAGATGAAATACTACATTTACTAAGGAATTATAAGCCAAATGAAATAAAAACATCTGCCCTGAAGATAAGGATAGTGCTAACAGATCGACTTCCCATTCATTGCGCGCCCATTCATTGCGAAATTACGGTAATTGTATCATTTGGGTATGTGACACCCAGGCCCTCATTTCCTTAGTTAGTCAGCATGGCATGCCATCTAAGTTATGATAAAGAAATGGTTGAGAAAGATGCATTTGCTCATTGACAAAAACATGATAGAAATGATAATTCAATGTACAAATATTTATTTTGATTCCATTCAGGAGTGGTTTGTACATGAACGTGATGCAAAGAAAATGGATGAATGTGAAATCAAAGCACTTTTGGGACTTATATACATATATATATGTATATCACAATTTCTCTCTTATCAGAAAGCCTACACTGTAGGTGAATATGTAGCAATTGCTGAAAAATTAGAACCATTAAGGGGACAATGTTCATTTAGGCAATACATGCCAAAAAAACTTTGCCCGCTAGTGGCATAAAAATATTTGCACTGATTGATTCCAGAGTGTTTTATACATGGAAAATGGAAATATATGTCGGCCAGCAGCCAAAGGGGCCATTCCAGTTTGACAAGAATGCAAGCACTATTATAAAGCATTTGATGGAATCATTGTACAAGTCTTGGATGGAATTTGACTGTAGATAATTGGTATATGGGATACCAGATATTTCAGGACCTACTAAGGAAGAAAATAACTATAGTCAGAACTGTGAGAAAGCATGAGAAAGGAATTCTGCCAGATTTTCTAATGAAGAAATGAGAAGCATATTCTTCAATTTTTGGTTTCCAGAAAGAAACAACGATTGTTTCTTATGCACCAAGGAAAAATAGAAGTGTTGTCCTACTATCAACTATGCACAACGATAATAAAATTGACGAAACCACTGCAGTACTGAAAAAGCCGGAGATTATTTCCCTTTATAATCTAGCCAAAAGAGCAGTAGATGTTGTAGATGAAATGGGAGCAGCATATTCTACAGCTAGAGTATCCAGGCAGGTGATACTATGGTGGCCTATGGTGATTTTTTTCTCGATTTTAAATGTTGCAGCAATTAATGCACGGATAATCTTATTTTCTACAAAAGAACCAACTCAGTTTAGAAACAGGCGTTCTTTTGTCAAATCATTGGATTGAAGTTAGTAGAAGATTACTAAAATTAATGGCGGCAGCAAATCATGCTCCCTTTGAAACTAATAATAATAATAATAATTTCAGGAGATTGCAACATAGAACCACCCTCTAAAAAGATGAAAAACATTTACAGAACATGTGCTGAGTGCTCTAAAAACAAGAACAGAAAGACACGGTTTTTGTGCGACAAATGTAATATCAATATTTGTATGAAGCATATGTGTTTAGTCTACCAGAGATGTGCAAAATAACTGTAAGTTAAGCACTTCATTTATTATATTCTTTAAAATATTCTAAAGTTCACGGTGTTTAAGTTAATCCATATTTATATCATTAATGCAATTTAAATCATGTTAATTGCTTTCGGGTATGACATACCATGCGCGTCTTCTCATGTTTGTAAATTTGCCACACATGCTCGCAGGTTAAAATCCATGCAAAAATTATAGCTCAAGATGATATCATAGTAGTAAGAACAGAATCTTTACTTCTCTGATCCATAAGTGAAAACAGAAAGTTCCATATGCCATAATGGAATATCCTAAGAATTGTAACAACTAGACTTGGCCCTCGTCAACCTATCAATGGCTATTACCCCAGGGAGAATTGCAAACATAAGTGATAAGACGAAAGTCATTAGGAAAGGCAAAGTGGTTGCAGCATGAACTCAAGTAACCTGCATTAAACGAACCAGTAGTCTTCAAAAGTGTGTGCCTTCAGAGAGTCTAACATTGTGATTATAGCAAAATGCACAACTAAAAGATGAACAGAGATATGCTGCAAAATATGTCATTCAATAATTTAAAGATGTTTTCTCCTGCTCATCTTCTGATAGGCCAAACCAGTTTGGCACAGCATAGAAATGATACCAGGGGCCATTCACTAGTAAAGCAACATCCGAGAAGTCTACCAACTGCTACACGGAAAGAGGTAGGAAAACTTCTAAAGGACATGCAAGAAAGTGAAGTTATTAAGCCTTCAACATGTCCTTGAGCCTTTCTCATTGTCCTGGTCAGAAAGAAAGATGGTTCAACTAAATTTCGCTTTGGATATTGCTGGTTGAATGCCATCATGAAGTAATACAGCTATCCACTTTCTAAAATTGATGACATTCTGGACACTCTTTCTGGAAGTAAGCAGTTTTCAATGCTTGGTTAAAACAGTTGATATTGGCAGGTAAAGATAAATCTTGATGACTGAGGAAGATGGTACTTACTACCGGACAAAGATTTTGGCAGTTCAAAGTGATACCATGTGGATTACAAAATGTACCAGCAACATTCAAATACCTCATGACATACTCATTACCAGCAAAAAATATATATCTGGATATGATATTTATTTGGATTACATAGTCATCGTCAGAAAAGTTTTCAAGAGCATTTAGAAAATCTTAGAAGGCTGCTTCAGAAATTATACAAAGCCAATTTAAAGTTAAGTCCTGCCACATGTAAATTGTTCAGAGAGAGAGTGACTTAACTTGGACATGTCATCTCTGCTGAAAGAGTATGTATAGATAGAGAAAAAATGTTGGCAGTTAACGCTTGGAGATGCCTTGAAAATGTCCATCAGCTAAGAAGTTTCCTGAGGATTTTTACCTTACTATAGGAGATTTGTGAAAGTCTTTTCTTCCATCACAAGACTCCTTCACAAACTGACAGAGTGCAAGCAAAAGTTCTTGCGAACAAAAGAATGTGAGGATGCATTTAACAAACTGATGGAGGCTTTAATATCTGCAAAAATCCTGACATATCCTCAGCTTGACAAACCATTTATTCTTGAAAAAGATGCAAGCAATGAGAGTGTCGGTGCTCTTTTGTCACAAGAAATAAATGGTCAACAACGTGTCACAGTGCACACGAGTAACAGTCTATTTAACTGAAGAAGGCTTCTGCAAGAATTCCATGTACACTCAGCTTGACAATCTATTTATTCTAGACAAAGACGCAAGCAATGAGAATGCCAATGCATTTTTATCACAAGAAATAAACTGCCAAGAACAAGTTGTAGTGTACTGGTGCAAGAGTGTATTTAAACCAAGAAGAATTACTGCATGATCAGAAAAGAGTTACTTACCATAGTTAAAGCTGTAGAACATTTCCATCATTACTTCTGCGTCAGAAAATTCTTGCTCTGCACAGCACTGACCCGATTATTGAATTTCAAAAATTCTAAAAACCAGAGAGTCAGATGGATACAGAGACTCCAAGAATATGATAAAACTATTCGTCGTATAAAAGATTGTAACATAAAAGTGCCCATGCCCTATTTAGAAGACGAGTAAGATGCCGATATTATTCCAGGGTTGAAACGAAATACCAGCCTTTTAATCTGTCAAACATTAAGTTACAACTTCAATCCAATCTGACCTAGACCCATGGAATGATGAAGAAGCCAAGAAAAAGAATTGGAAGACAGAGACATTAAACACACAACTGACTTAATAATACAGTCTTCAAAAAGGAAACCTATCTGACAGAACATTTCAATCTATAGTTCTATGACAAAACAATATTAGGCTCTCTGGGATTCCATACCTGAAGAGATGTCTTATTTCAGAAGTTTGAATCGGATGACAAAAAGGCATTCCGAAGGCAGATGATACTTCCAAGATATTGGCTACCAGATGTTCTCAAAGAACTACATAACAGTCCAACAGGAGGCCATTTTGGAATAACGAAGACGTTGCACAGAGTTTGAGAGCACTTCTACTGTACTAAGGACTGATGTACAAAAGTGGTGCCACTCTTTAAATTTCTTTGTGGGTTAGAATGGACCGAAGATATGCATTCAAGGTAAGTTACAATGTTAGAATGCAGAAACGCCTTTTGAATGCATTGCCATTGACATCATGAGATCTTTGCAATGAACTGCTGAAGGAAACAAATACATTCTGGTTATCATTGATTACTTTGCAAAATGGGCTGAAGCATATTCTATTCCTGATGAAGAGCAGAGGCAATAATACAGCAGTGAATTTCCAAGTTTGGAAAGCTTCTTCAGTTATGTTCTGACTACAGAATTTTATCTTGGCTGTAATTAAAGAACTCTATTAAGTACTCTGATAGACAAAACTCAAATAACATCTTTACATCCATAAGACGACATGGTAATGAGGATTAATTATACAATCATTAATAATCTTTTGCTGATAGTTTCTAGATCTCAACAAAATTGGAAACAGAAGTTACCTCTGTTCTTACTGGCATACCGCAGTGCCGTCCGCAAGACTACTGACTGTTTTCCATCACACATGCT